GAAAAGGAACGGGGATGCACCGTTAGGCTATTCGGGACGAACAGCCTTAAGGAGGGAGCAGTGTGACATGTTGCGAAATCTGAGCCCCCCCCCACACCAGCAGTGACGCGGTGGGTGAGTCAGCGCTCCCCTCCCACCCCTCAGCGGTAACGTAACGCTCGCGGTAATAGGCGAGTAATCACCCCGCAATGCGCAACGCGCGGTGACGTCACGAGCGGAGCCGAAGATAGCCGAGCCCCGTAACCTGGCAACTACGCAATGCTAATCAACAGCGGTGACGTCACGCTAGCAACAGCGTCCTATGCTATACGCCACGTCACACTAGCAACAAGGGTGCCTATTACGTGGCCGTATTGTCCGATCGAGGCTACATAGGGAGCAGCGAAGGCTATTCACAGTTCAGTTGAAACATAGCAGCCTGCGAGTGAGCGATAACTAAGAAGTCAGCGAGCGGAAGACGTATTGTGTGCTTTCAAGACATAGTGAGTGCTGTAGTACAGTTGTACTCGGAGTGTGTATTTCAGGGAGACTTGTATAGCTCCCACGTTATTAGTACGTGAAGACAAGTGAAGATCGTGTTAAGAGACTTTGTTGTAGGGTTTGTAAAGTGTGGAAACCCGTAATATTGTGATCATTAATTATAGCCGTTAGTTGTAGATTGTTCAATAAACCAGTTAACGATCTCTATGGCGTATTCAGTAACGTAAACACGTTACAATATAAAAAGCACTTCTATAACATTAAAGTCATAACCATAAATTTTTAAATATTATTCATATATGTACCAGTATTTGGTGATTTTGTCATTTCTTTCTGCAGGTATAATTTATATGATTATTATTCTGTGCATCTGAAATTGAAGAGGCCAGTAAAGGTTCTATAAATGGAAAGAAACTTTCAGTTCACTAAAAAAATCATTTTGTTTTTGCAAATTTAGCCTGGAGATAATTAATATTGTGAAATATCAATATACACAATCATCCATCATAAGACATATATGCCTGATTTCAAGTCATGTATATGGTAGAGACTTTTCTTCTGAAAGGAACAAACAATCTCTGGTCATAATAAATGAGTAGTAAGAGATGGGAAAAATTGCAAATTCCAGATATTGTTGCTTTTTATGATACATTTGTTTTACAATTGAAAGAACACAGAAAATAACTGAATAAAGCCTACAGTAGAGGTTGTAAAGAATCATTTCCTGTGGGCACATGCAGTGGATTCGCAGATTTTGAAATTGGAAAATGGTAAATGACAACATTTCAAAATGCCTCTAAAATGAAGGGAAAATTAACACTGAGAACAGAAACTCAGACCTAATCGTAACAGCCCTGTTAGGTGTTATTAAATGGGAACTGCCTGTAATTTAACTTCATACTCTTATTCAGTAGTGAGAGAATTCATTTCTTGATCTTTGATCTGTAGCAGATGTTGAATAGTTTTTAAATAAGGAAAGTCTATCAGAGCATTTAATTGTTCAGGAAAACTGAACCTTTCATACAAAATATGATTTTCAAGTTTATTAATGTCATGGTCATTACTTTTACATTTAATATGGATTATGTTTTCTTCTGAATGCCATTATTCTCTTACTCTCTTTCATACAATTATGGAAATTCTATATCTCAGATGACTTTCCTGGGTATATGCTACACACAGAATTAATAGCAGTAGTAGAAAAAATATCTTTGTGCATTCAGTTTCATGGTACCAACCACCTCAAAATTAATGGGCTTTATGACTAAATGATGAGACCTGGACTCTGGATGATATATCTGTCTTGATGTGTCTAATGTAACAATTTTATATACAGATGAACCTAGCAAACCTAATAATGTTGAAGTTGTGGACTGGGATAAAGATCATGCAGATCTTAAGTGGATCAAACCAGATAGTGACGGTGGAGCACCCATCACCGGCTACATTATAGAATTTAAAGTAAGTATTATGTAGTGAAATTTGATTTGTTTCATTCTGGTCCGTCACATTAACAATTATAAATACAAACCACATGGTCCAATGTGACATATATGTTTTAACATAGTAAAAACTTATATGTCACATTGGACGGAGTGGTTTGTATTTATTATGTAGTGAAATTTCCTATATTCCCCAGTCATATCATCAGTATTAAAATCTAATATAGTATTATGCTTTTCACTTTTTCTGATGGGTGATATATTATGCTTGAACTCACAAATTTCTCCTATTTTTAGTTCCCTTCTTCTGTAGTTTTATTTAATTTGTTACATATTTTTGCTCTGTTATTTTGAATTTTATTAACATGTTAATACTATAATTAATTTATATTATATATATTATAAATACTTCAAATATTACTTCCACATGTAAATCTTACATATGGTTCATATTTGCTTGGAAACACACTGGAGAGATCTTTCTCCTCATCTAAGAAATATTTTGTAGCCATTACTGAAAGTGAAACCCACCTTTGTGGAATATTCTGTAGCATAGACTTTGCACACGGTGCTGTACTGGGTAGTTGCACAGAAGTGTTCAATGTTGATTTTATTACTATCGACTTAATAATATTCAGTATGTATGACAGTTTCACAGCTTTTCCTCTTGCAACATCTTGTTTCTTGCTTTATGTTATTTTTTGTTTTGGATATTTACTACATTAAAATGTAACTACATACAATGTACTGTCTAGTGTTTATTTTTATTTGGAGTTGTTATTTTACCACAGTCCATAACAAATTAAGCCCTTAAAGCCAGTTTTTTTCCCCTCTCACTATTTCACCACAATGCCACTGCCCACTTAACTCTTCCTTCCCTCTTACTTTTCCTATTGAACTTAACTGAAAACCGACTACTCTTCCTAACTCATTGACTCAACTCACTAGCAGACAATGATAACTTAATGCTGACTAGCTCAGGATTTACTAGTCTGCTCTGCTCACTGCATGGAACAGAACTGGTTTCTGCTTTGTACTGAGCTGGGCTCAGCTTGTGTGTGAGATTTGTAGCTTTGTTTTAAATGCTCAAGTGACCACAGCCTTTGGCATCAGCTGATTAGTTTCTGGAACAATCTAGAAGGGAGGAGTCTCAAAACTCTGATATGACAAGAGGTGCACACAGGCCATGTGATGTGATCCCCTTTCTGCGCTTAGCTCCCATGACAATGTATTTATTTAAATACATTCATAATTACCCTTCAGAATAGTAATAATTTAGTTATCAGTGCTGTTAAGTTCTTTAATACTAACTGAATCATAGACTTCCCAGTAGTTTTTAAATAGAAACAAATTAATATTTTTATTTATGTGTTTGTGGTGTAGGAAAAATTTGGAAAGGAGTGGGAAAAGGGAAAAGAAGTAGGAGATGTCACCAAGGCAACAATAGAGGGTTTGAAGGAAGGGACTCAGTACGAATTTCGTATCCGAGCTGTTAACAAAGCTGGACCTGGAGAACCAAGTGATGCAACTAAACCTATAATTGCTAAAGCCCGGTTTGGTAGGTACAAATAGTTTTATGAAGTTGTCTTGCTGTCTGATGAAACAATAATTTTAAGAACTGTAGATTGTTAACATGATAATGTAATACTTTCTTTCATTGATACTGGATTTTTAGTTCCATTATGGATCCTCGTAAGTCATGTATGTGATGTGACTTACCACAGAGAAAATCGCTGTACCTAAATGTTTCTCTTCTTACAGTGAAACCATTCATAATTGGAGATGGTTTGACAAACATAGTTGTGAAAAAGGGTCAAGTAATAAAGTATGACATCAAATATGGTGGTGAACCAGAACCAGTACCTCGATGGGAACTCACTGGCAAGGAACTTGTTGAGGATTCTCAGGAAAGGTAGATGTTAATGAACTTCAACACTTAATTCCTACAAAGAATATTAATATTCACATAACTTATTTATCTATTTAGTATCTAACCATGTTAATGTTATATGTGTTTCAGGACTACAATTGACAAATATGAAAGGAATACAGTACTTACAGTTCGTCGAGCAACAAGAGCAGACAGTGGCAAATATAAATTGACTCTTACTAATGGCTCAGGAACATGTGAAAGTGTGGCTGATGTTGTTGTTCTAGGTAAGGCTTAGTATCTTCTAACATGAGACAGTGTTGTTGCTAGAATATTTTACTATCTAACATTTTAACTTTATTATGTGTACAATATTTGATTCAATAAGAATAATAGTGAAGTGTCTGTAGTTTTCTTACACATATTTTAATATATAAAAAATGTATTACCTAGTTACATGCTCATAACTTTTTCAAAGATGTCCCCAGAAGCAGATCTTTTTATATAACCTGACATTCATAACAGTACTATATTGAGTTGAATTCACATGTTAGAAATTTTACCCCAGGAAAACAGCCTCTGTTTCCTATTCACTAGGTGAATGGTTGGGGCATTGAGCTTACTTGGATGGGTTTGTTTAAATATGTTCTGATTTAACTGCTTTGATTTTTGTAACTTAAATTAATGTCTGATTAAATGGAAAGCTAATTCCAGGTCTTTCATTGATTTTAAACTGACACCATCCCCCACTGAATTATATGGGTGATATTTTCATGGTTATAGTAGGAACTCCAGTTCATATATTTGCAGTTCTATTGTAAAGTTTATTACTGTAAGAATGCAAAACACATGCTCTAATAAGCTCTTCTAAATAAGCATCTTATGTTAAAATCATACCTCACAAAAGGGAGCCTATTGTTGAAAAATTCACCTACCTACAGGAGTAGTGCTAAGTATAACTGGCGGGTGTACAATTCAAATTAAACCCTTCACCATTACAATGTTTTTGCATAGACAGAAATATTATACTGTTCTTATTATTTACAGATAAGCCTTCCTCACCAATAGGCCCTCTGGCAGCTGAAGAGGTGAGGGCAAATCATGTTAAAGTCAAGTGGAACAAGCCAGAAGATAGTGGAGGGACAGCAGTCACAGGCTATGTACTGGAGAAAATGGATCTGGATACAGGACGCTGGGTACCTGCTGGAGAGGTAACGTCACCTGTTCCACACGAATATACAACTTGGGTCTGGGAATTGACTGTACAAGTATTTTCTGTGTTCACTGTTAAACAAAGTTATTGGTATATTGTTTTAGATTAATTTTTCAAGAAATATTTTTAAAAAACTTGATTCATTCATTCATTCATTCATTTCCTTTATTTTCCATATATCTGTACAGGCAAAAAAACCTAAGATGTGGAAATAGTCCCTTTGATAATAGATGTATACATGTGATGACAGTTGTCTTGTTTTGAAGTTTATCTGTTGATAGTACCTATTTTCCTTCCAAGATGTGGGTCCCTCCGACTGGTGGAGCACTCTTGTTTTGTTGACACGCTCTTGGAAACAGTCGTGAGCAGGAAGTGTAGAGAGGAAGAAAGATTTGAAGTACATTCAAACAATGATCACAGTACAGACATAAAGACATGCTTCTGAAGGCAGCTCTGGTTTCATTCAACAGTGTGGACCCCCAAAATAGACACAACCCCAGGTTCTTTTCTAGCTGAGCCTATTGAACTCTTGATCCCTTCAGATATAGTGTGTGATGCATTGCCAATGTTTTGAGAGGATATACTGCCACTGTCTTTGGATTCCTGTCATTACTGCCTGTTTCTTTATACACAGTTATATTTCCAATAGTTTTCATCATCGATCAATTTTGTTCACATAAATACAAGCTTTTATCCAGTTTTCATGCATTAATTCATCCAAACTTCTCTGTTGTTTCTTTCAAAGCTGTTGCTGACGGAGAAGACATTTATAGCCATAGTTTTTTGTTTGGTTAATCCCACATCACTTCTGTAGGATTTAAGTCACAGTGGAATGGGGGAAATAGTAATACAGTAAAAACATTTTTGTTCAAAATTCTGTCCACATTATAAGTAGTCATGTTAATGAATGGGAAGATGCAACAGTGGGCAACAATAAGAATATAAGAGGATTGAGAAACAAAACAAATGAACTAATAAGCTCCATGAATTCAAATCTTCCACACATACTGTGCCTTACTGAACATCACATGAAACAGCTGGAATTAGAACATCTTCACATAGAAAATTATAATTTAGGTGCTAGATACTGTAGGAAAACACTGGAGAAAGGAGGAGTGAGTATTTTTGTACACGAAAATTTAAAATTTACTAAAATAAATTTAGAAGATTATTGCAAAGACCAGGATCTGGAAGCATGTGCTCTAAAGTTAGACTCTCCTTTTTCTAATATTTGTATACTGACTTTATATAGAGCCCCATCTGGAAACTTCGATCACTTTATAAATAGATTAGAAACCATCCTAAATGTACTGCATAGTTCAAAAGTTGAATTTATAATTTGTGGTGATATAAATATAAACTATCTCATCGACAGTAATAGGAAACTAAATTTAGACTCTTTGTTATCATCTTACAATCTCTCCAGTACTGTTAACTTTCCCACAAGAGTTCAAAATAATTCTAGTTCAGCGATAGATAATATATTCATTGATAACTCAAAATTAAGAGACTATACTGTAGGACCCTTTATAAATGGCTTATCCGATCATGATGCTCAACTCATAGAAATAAATAATATTGACCTTCAGCCCAGTAATCAACAATATCAAACAGTAAGGAAAATCAACAAGCATACGATGGCAGATTTTGTCACAAAATTAAGTAATGAATCATGGGACAATGTATTTGACAGCAATAATATTGATTCTAAATTTAATTGCTTTCTGAACACATACTTGAGGATCTTTTATTCAAGCTTTCCCTTAAAAATAGTCAAAAATGAAAATAAAAACAAATCCACCTGGATAACAATTGGAATAAAAACTTCATGTAAACACAAAAGACAACTATATTTGGCCAGTAGGGACAGTAATGATCCAAGACTAAAAAGTCACTACAAAATGTACTGTAAAATTTTGTCAAAAGTCATTAAAGAAGCCAAACAGAATAACTATAACAGCCAAATTCTAAAATCAAACAATAAAATTAAAACCACCTGGGATATTGTGAAAGTTGAATCAGGAAAGAAATCTGTTAATGAAGACGTACAAAGTTTGAATATTGAAGGGAAGTCCACTAACAATCCACAAGCTATCGCAAGTGCATTTAATGAATATTTCCTTTCATTAGCTGAGAAAACATATTCCAATAATAATAATAATAATAATAATAATAATAATAATAATCCAATATACTATCTGTCTCGTGCCTTTAACAATTCATTTCCAAATATCAATCTCAAATTCTCAACAAGGAAGGAAATTGAAAACATTATTAAATCCCTTAAGCCCAAAAATTCACATGGATATGATGAAATCTCTACCAAATTACTTAAAGCAAGCTCTGTTTACATCAGTTCACCCTTGAATCATCTATGTAATAAATCTTTATCATCAGGTACTTTTCCTCAACGCTTAAAATACGCTGTAATGAAACCACTTTTTAAAAAAGGAGAGAGAAAATGCATCTCTAATTACAGACCAATATCCATATTGACTTCATTCTCAAAAGTCTTTGAAAAAGTTATGTATAATAGACTACTTGAACACTTAAATTCTAACAACATATTAGTCAAAGAGCAATTTGGATTTAGGAAAGACCTAACAACAGAAAAAGCAACCTATGAACTAACTAACGATATTTTAAGTGCTCTCAATGACAGATTAATTGTGGGAGGGATTTTCTGTGATCTAGCAAAAGCTTTCGATTGTGTTAATCATGATATCTTACTATCGAAATTAAATTTCTATGGAATAACTGGCAAAGCTAATGAATGGATCAAATCATACCTCAAAAACAGGTATCAAAGAGTTGAAATAAATAATAAAAACTCCAGTCATAATGCATTTTCAAACTGGGGAATTATAAAGCACGGTGTTCCACAAGGATCAATTTTAGGTCCCTTACTTTTTCTTCTCTACATAAATGATCTATCTAAAACCATCAACAATAAATCTAAACCAATTCTATATGCAGATGACACTAGTATAATATTTAAGAACTCTAAATTTGAAAACTTTAAAAATGACATAAATATTGTATTTGAAGCCTTAAACAGATGGTTCGAAGCCAATTTACTCTCATTAAATTTTGATAAAACCCATTACATATCATTCACAACTAAAAACAACCACCAAATTGATCTGGACATCAGTTATGCCAACAAATTAATCTGTAAAGTACTTGATACAAAATTCCTTGGAATACATGTAGACAGTACACTGTCTTGGAAAATACATATTGAACAAATTATACCTAAATTAAATGCAGCTTGCTATGCGATGAGATCAATTAAGCCTTTTATGTCACAGGAAACATTGAAGATGGTTTACCATGCCTACTTTCATTCTATTATGAACTATGGATTAATATTTTGGGGGAACTCTTCACATAGTGTAATAATTTTTAAAATACAAAAGAATATAATTAGAATCATTACAGGATGTAGAAGTAGAGATTCATGTAGAGAATTATTTAAGAAATTAAAAATTCTACCTCTTCAATCGCAATACATATTATCGCTTCTCCTATTTGTTGTTTACAACAAAGATAAATTCAAATTAAATTCTGATGTCTATAACATGAATACTAGACAAAAATATAACTTCCACCTACCCTCATCAACTTTATCAGTATATCAAAAAGGAGTCTACTTTACTGGCATAAAAGTGTTCAACAATCTGCCACAAAGTATTAAAAACTTGGGCAATGATACTAAAAAGTTTAAATCAGAGTTAAAGAATTATCTACATGCTCATTCCTTCTACTCTTTAGATGAATACTTCAATGTAAATAGAGAATGATGTAAAATTAAGTTATATTAATTTTTAAGCTAAAATTGCCTGTACTTATGTATGTAACCTTTTGACTTGTTCTGTATCCAAAGGTACTAACCTGCTTAGGATTTATAGAATGTAAATAAATTCAATTCAATTCAATTCAATAAACTGAAGGCATACACATTTACTAAAAATGCAGAGCAGCAATTTAACCTTCTACCAGATGCAGAGCCCATGGATTATTTCATTTTATTTTTCAATGATGAGCTTTTGAATGACATTGTTATAGAACCAAACAGGTATGTGACACACAAAATTGTGGAACTTTAGCTAAGCCTCAGGTCCATTTGGAGTAAGTGCCATGATGTGTCTGTTCTTGAAGTGAAGGTGATTTAGGTCTAATTATAAATATGGGCTTAATCCCATTTCCCAACATAAAAGACTACTGGTCTGGTGAGAGGACAACACAGATAAAATTCTTTGGTGGCATAATGTTCAGATATCACTTTTTACAGATATTTTGGATGATGCATGTGGGACAGTGATACCCCTGAATAAAGCAGTCGGGCCATCAAAAGGACAAGAAAGTACATGGGGTGATAGAACATATAGAGAACATTTTCAGAAAAATTGTGTCACGTAAAAACATTGCAACAGATGGATCAACAGTTGGGTTCAGGCACAAAATAGTTTTTGAAACTTGTAATAAAAAAAAACAAAGAAGTGGGGAATCATATAATTTGTATTAGCTGACAGTGACACTGGTTATGTTCGCAGTATAATTCCAAATTATGGATAACTTAACAGGTGATGTGTAACTTTCCATACTCTGAAAAATCGTTTATTTTTAAGAATAGTTCTTTCCTTGATGGACAGATTGTGACGTAATGTGTCTGGTATTGAAGACTACAAGCTTTTCACTGACAAATATTGTAGCAGTGCTGAGTTGGCCCAAGAATTGGGCAATCAAAAATATAAGTACAGTTTGCCTTTTAAGTTTATGCTCTTGTTGCACTAAATCTTGGGCAAAATACTTCATTTAGTGGATTGGCAGGCAATTAACAACCCCTGACATTCTGGATGCAGAGATTTTCCTGAACATGAAGTCCAGAAAGGGTTCAAATGTGTTTAAACAAAATGTATAGTAAAGTCTGTCTAGGTAAACATTTGTCTGATAATTTTCCTATCCAGAATGATCTAAAACAAGGAGATGCTTTAATGCCACTCCTTTTCAACTTTGCTTTAGAATATGCCATTAGATGGGTCCAGGAAAACCAGGTGGGTCTGAAATTAAATGGGACACATCAGCTGTTGGCCCAAAACACACAAACTTTAATTTATGCTAGTAACGAGGTTAGTCTAGAAGTAAACACAGAGGAAACTAAATATGTGTTGCTGTCTCGTCACCAGAATTCAGGGCAAAATCATGACATGAAGATAGCTAACGGATGTTTTGAAAATGTGGCACAGTTCAGTTATTTTGGAATGACTGTGTGAGATCAAACCCTGATTCAGAAGGTAATTAAGACGAGACTGTATTCAGGTAATGCTTGCTACCATTCAGCCCAGAACCTTTTGTCTTCTCATCTGTTGTCTAAAACTAAAAAAAATTAGAATATATATAAATTATGATTTTGCCTGTGGTTCTGTATGGGTGTGAGAGTCTCTGACAGTAAGGAGGAACATAGACTGAGGGTATTTGAGAACAGGGTGCTGAGGAGAATATTTGGACTGAAGAGAGATAATGTGAGAGGAGACTGGAGAAACTGCATAATGAGGAGCTTCATAACTGGTACTCTTCTTCAAGTATAATTAGAATGATCGAGTCAAGGAGGATGAGATGGGCAGGGCATGTAGCGGGAAGGGTGAATAGAAGAGGAATGCATATAGGATATTGGTGGGAAAGCCAGAAGTAAAGAGATGTAGGTTGGTGGACAATATTAAAATGGATCTTAGAGACATAGGATGGGATGGTATGGACTGGATTGATCTGACTCATGATACAGACCAGTGGAGGGCTCATGTGTACATGATAATGAACCTTCAGGTTCCATAAAATTCTGGGAAGTTCTTGAGTAACTGCACAATTAGTGGCTTCTCAAGAAGGGCTCAGCTTTATGAGTGAGTTGTATAGTTTTAAATATTTGATCTTGTTCTTTTGACAAATAATTGATCTCAATTGTTAAATTAGGTGGGACCAGATAAGAATTCATTCACAGTTGATGGATTGACGCCTAAGAAGAAGTATAAGTTCCGAGTGAAGGCTGTAAACAAGGAAGGAGAATCGGAACCTTTAGAAACAGAAGAACCTATTTTGGCCCGGAATCCTTATGGTAAAAATCAACAGCATCAAAGAAACAAGAACTGTATACATTTTTATTGTTTGAATAAGAGTGAGTTGTTTCTGTGTAAATTTTATATTTCTTTCTAGATGAACCTGGTCCCCCTGGAAAACCTGATATAATTGACTATGATAATAAGAGTGTGACTTTAAAATGGGCTAAACCAGAAGAGGATGGTGGTCGCCCAATATCTCATTACACAGTCGAAATGAAAGATAAACTTTCTGTGGAATGGGTGGAGGTCCTAAAAACAAAAGATAATAACCCTGAGGGTATTGTAGGAGGCCTTAAAGAGAAAAATATTTACCAATTCAGGGTACGTGCACACAATAAAGCTGGTGCCAGTGAACCCAGTGAACCAACCAGTAGTCATGTCTGCAAGCACAGACACTGTAAGTAAAATTTTTGATTGCACAATTCATGTGCTGGGTTTTTTAAACATTATCTCAGAAATTTGTATAAACAGGTGAAAGATATATATGAAAGTATAAAATTTGTGTATGTTTAGCACATTTAATGACACTCTGTTCATAATTGAAATTGTACAATTTTCAGTGGGAAATATACACCACTTAAAAATTATGAGTGAGGAGATGAGAGGAAAATGTGGTCATGGACTATCCAAGCGTGCATTATCTTAGCATTTACAGGAGAGACTGAGGAGATTCATGAAAGTGTCGGTCAGAGTAGATATTCCAGTTATATGCATACAAATTTTTGAAGTAAGGGTCTCTCTGGGGTTTCTTAATTAAGCACCATGCCATAGCAACATATGGGAGAGTGGAGGTACAGCTTCACCATTCTTGATTTCAGCACTAGCTGGGGATGAGTTGTCAGCTTCACACTATAGCAAATTTACTTGTAAGGAAAGGACCTCTAGTACGCACTGGAAAGGAGACTGGGTGGGTCCAGAGGCGGTCTGGATGCTGTGGAGCAGAAAAATCTCTTGCCCCAGCCATCAAGCACAAAGCCTGTTGCTATACTGACTGAGCTATCCCAGCTCCTATGAGAAATTTATTGCAAGACAAAATGGAAGCAAATTAAGTTCAGTTTTGTAAACAAACCAATATTTCTCTTAAACATATTGCTAGTAGGAAACCATATCCAGATATGTATTTGATGATCTGTTTTCTTTCCAGTGAAACCAAGAATTGATCGTGCCACTTTCAAGAGTGTGACTATTAAAGCTGGACGAACACACAAGTGGTCAGTGGATGTATCTGGAGAACCTCCTCCAACCTGCTCATGGATCTGGCGTGACGACATATCATTGGTCAATACAGAGAAAATCAAAATTGAAAACATTGATTACCATACAGACTTCAGTATCATTAGTGCCATGAGGCGAGATACAGGAAAATATACTCTCATTGCAGAAAATGCATCTGGGAAAGATCAAGAAACTGTTGAACTCACAGTACTTGGTGAGAAGAATTTAATTTTCCTATTTATTTCACGTGAAAACAGTTGTTCAGGTGAAAAGTAGAAAGACTGCGACATAAATTTCAAGATTTTAAAGTTTCAAATAGAAAAAGCTTTTTAATTTTTGGGCTTTGAACTTGTTGATTGCGTTGTTGGTCTAAATAGACAAAGAAAGAGCTAATGCAAGCAGCTTTTCTCTCTCTCTCTCTCGCTCTGTGATTTCTGGTATGCTCTCAAATAACCTCCCCATATAAAAGAACTCTACTTGATCTAATAGGATGAGAGAAACTAGTTAGTATACAATTCCTTTTATATTAAAAAGAAGTAAGAAATTAAATACTTATATATTGTGATATGAAATTTGACATGATGGTTTTCTCCATTGGCATGCTCTATTGTACAGTTTGACCCTCTAGGTTCTTTTTCATTTGCTCACTTATGATGCACATCACTACATCTGTCAAGCACTTAAAAGAAATACTTTGCAGTATAAGATGCTGAGTTCCTAATTTTAATAGCTGGTTACTTTTTACTTCTGACTGGTAATCATAATAAAATCTACAATTACATATATTTAGCCTCTTGTCTAGGAAGCCTTGGAACAAAGTTTTGGAAACTGCTTTTATTCACTACTGTCAGCACATCAAGGTTTTATATTTTAATGTGATTTGTGGTTTTTCATACACTTCACTGCTATGTATCCGCAGCAGGATAAACGGGTTCTATAAGACAAAGCAAATCATTTACATAGTCTGCTCAAACATAAGGTTTAATATGCTATCAATAATCAATAGATTGACGTAAATGGAGCACCTGATGATGGCACTGTAGTGCCGAAACATGTTGTGAAGTAACAAGTAAAACTGAGTGCACTAAAAGACGGACACTACTTACATATCATGGACGAATAATGCACCTTATAATGAACCTTCAATTTTAAACACTACATAATATATTGATGTTCTAGTAAGTAGTGTGTAATTGGATATGTTGCTCTATATTAAGAAATGCTTAAAAAATACATGTACATAATTTTAGTCATGATGTGAATGTATTATGATTTATTTTAAAATGTATGTTACAGTTTTAGATGAAATCAATTATCTGTATACTTATATCAACCAATCTGTACATCTTTTGACATGCAGCTAAACCTGGTATTCCACAAGGCCCATTGGAAATAACTGATGTAACAAAGACATCTGCAAAGTTGAAATGGAAAAAACCAGAGGATGATGGTGGATGTCCTATCAAGGAATATGAAGTAGAGAAAATGGATGTAGCTACAGGGAAATGGGTTCGAGTGGGACGAGTTCCAGGAGATAGGCCATTTCCAGAAATGGTTGTTACTGGTCTCACACCTGGTGCAGAATACAAATTCCGTGTGTCCGCTGTCAACGATGAAGGAGATTCAGAGCCACTGGTGGCAGAGAAAGCTATCATTGCCAAGAATCCATTTGGTATGCTCAGATTACTTAGTTTTGCTTTTATCTTTCTGTATCAAATTTGCTATGCAGTCCAATATCGAGGCTGACTTTACTCTTCCAGAAATCTTCCTATTCCATCCATTGATTCACTCTGAAAAAGAAGTTTTGATTCAGGATTGCTGCAAAGAAAGATTCTGCAAAATTTCTTTGGGCCAGGATATTAAAAGCAGCCACTAGCATTGGAGCAATATTGGTGAAAATTATAATGGTACATGCTAAAATAGATGTCTTACACTCTCTGATTCTTCATCTACCATATTTTGATAGATAGGAGACGGCATTCAAGTATACTTGATGTCCGATCATTCAGGGCAGTAGATTGTGATACCACTACCTGGTGGTGGCCAAGGTTAGGGAAAGACTGACAGTGAACAAACAAATAATGCACAGAGTTCATATGGAGAGGTTCAATCTCAAGAAATTAAATAAGGTAGAGAGTAAAGAGCAGTATCATGTTGATATCTCAGATAGGTTTGCGGCTTTGCAAACTTTGGACACTTGAGGTGGATGTGAATCAAGCTTGTGAAACTATTAGAGAGATTATCAAAATTTCTGTGAAGGAGAGTCTAGGTTATTATAAACTGAAGGAGCATAAGCCATGGTTCAATGGAGGATGCTCAACAACTTTCTTGAAACTACTTCTGTCCTGTGTGCGAGTTGTCCAGTTATAAATTCCTAAGTCCTTTAGATCTTCCCTTACATCATCTTTCCATCTGATCGTAGGTCGGCCCCTCTTTCTTATAGTGTGTGGCTGCCAGTCATATTTTTTTTAACTGTTCGTCCAGCCTCCATCTTTGCGATGTGTCCAAGCCAACTTATTCTTTGGGCTTTGATGAAGTTAACTGTGTTCCTTCCTCTTATTGGGTTATCTAGTTCATCATTTGTTTGAATTTTGCAGGAGCCATCATGATTTGTTGATGGCCTGAAGATCTTTCTTAGAATTTTCCTTTCAAAGACTAAAAGTCTATGTTTAATGTCTTCTCTAAGTGTCCAGGTTCCACAGACGTAGGTTACTGTTGGTCGGATTACCATCTGGTATAATCTTAATTTAGCTGTTTTAGGAATAACTTTACTTTTAAACAGTGTTAAATGTGCAGCATATGCAGTTACTAGCCTTTCTTTAATCTCTTGTTCAATTGTGTTATCTGAATTAACTATAGACCCTAAATATTCATAATGAGAGACTTGGTCTATGTATATGTCACTGCATCTGAGATCTTGAATTATCTGAGCTTTGTTAGAACAGTGTAGGAATTTAGTTTTTTGTTCGTTGACTAATAGCCCATACTTTTGCTAGGCTTTTTTAAGCTCTTCAAAGGTGTTAATCAATGTTTGTTTGGTTCTTGCAATAATGAGTATGTCATCGGCATATGCACAACACTGTTTTAACCTTTTGGAAATATTACCTATAATGTCTAGACTTTTTATGATCTCATCTGTAACTAGTATGAAAAGTGATGCAGATAATGGGTCACCCTGTTTCACTCCACATCTTATTTGGAATCCTTCACTAAGCTCCCCATTTATTTTAACCTTTGCTTTCGTGTTTTGGAGAGCTGCTGCTATTAGTCTGATTAGTTTGGATTGAACGTTGTAGTTTTTGAGGCAGTATATTATTTGACACCTCTTAACAGACTCAAATGCTTGTGTATAGTGTACAAATAATTCATAGTTCATAATTTTATTTACATCCATAACTGTAAAATATGTTATAGATATCAATATTAAACTCACAGCATTTTTCACAGATCTGTTTAACTGTAAATATGTTATCTATTGTTGATCTGTTTGGCCTGAATCCCATTTGACAATCATCCAATTTACTTTCTATAGTAGCTACCAGTCTGTTATTCAGTAGAATTGAGAAAATTTTATATGAAATGTTTAATAATGTTATTGGTCTGTAATTATGACATGCCAACTTATCACCTTTTTTATGTGCTGGTGCTATGATTCCTTCCGCCCACTGTGCAGGGATCTCTTCGTCCTGCCATATCTTCAGTATCAGCTTATGTATCCTTTGTTTCAGTATTCGTCAACCAAATTTAATTAACTCTGGGTTAATGTTGTCTGGTCCAGCAGCTTTATTAATTCTAAGTCTGTTGATTACTGTACATACCTCGTTGTATGTTGAAGCTTCAGTATACAAGTAATTATCACCCACTGAGTCATCAGTATCAGGGATTTGGTCTGTTTCTGCCAAAGTGAACATTTCAATGAAATATTCCTTCCATCTTTCTAATACCTGTAGTTGATGCACTATTAAATTCACATCAGCATCTCTACACATCCTTGGCAATGCACTACTGTATGTTTTCATAAATCTGATGTCATTAAAAAACTTCCTAGTTTCTTTCTTTCTTTCTTTCTTTCTTTCTTTCTTTGATTTTCCTCAATTTGTAGAATTCTGTCATTTAACAATTTCTTCTTTTTTTTCTATAGACTCTGTTTGCTTCGTTTCTTTTAGCTTGATACTTCTCACGAGTAACTCTCATTCTACAATGTAGGAGTCTTTGTCTTGCTTTATTTTTGTTTTCTATTGCTCTCTTACAATCATCGTCCCACCATTCGTTTCTAGGTACCTGGACTTGTGTTCCTACCATTTCTTCAGCTTTTGCAATGATCTTGGGCCAAGTAAATTTCCATTCTTCATTTACATTTGAAAATTAATTTGCTTCACTCAATTCTTTGTGTAATATGGTTCTCTATTGTCTCTATTTTTGGAGATCATGCAATATGATCTTGTTCCATTTCTTCATACTGAGTTTCTTTTTCGTATATGTTATGGGTAATCTTTGCCTTATTACTGTTTTAACAAGGCAGTGGTCTGAGTCTATATTAAGTCCTTTCATTGTTCTGACATCTTCTGTAAGGTCCTTTTTACTTACATTACTAATGACATTATCAATTTGATTAACAGTGTTATGGTTGGGTGCTATCCAAGTACCCTTATGTATTTCTTTATGTTGGAATTGAGTACTCATAATTGCCATATTATTGGCTATTATAAATTCTGCCAATAGTTCATCATTTGGTGAAGTTACATTATGCAATGTATATTTTCCAGAGATGTTACTCTGTATTTCTTCTCTGCCCAACCTGGCATTTAGATCGCCTAATATTATTACAGCATCACTTCTTGGGGTTCCTTCTAAAACTCTTTGCAGTTCATCATAGAATTGCTCTTTAAAGTTTATTTCATTATCTTCGAGTGGAGCGTAAACACTGATAAGAGCAATATTCCTATAGTTTCCTTTAATCCTAAGTTTACAGATTTTTTCATTTACGGCCTCAAATCCGATAATGTATTTGGCTATTTCCTTCTTGACATAAAATCCTGTTCCTGCTTCTGTGGATTTTTGGGCACCACTGTAAAACAATTGGAAGTCCTTTTTACTAATAACTCCATTTCCTGCCCATCTTATCTCTTGCAAGGCCACTACTTTCATTTGTGCTTTCTACAGTTCTTCTGATAGTTCTTGCATTTTCCCAGGTTTCAGTAAAGTCTTAACATTCCAGGTTCCCATCACTAATTTACTTTCTTTATTCCTTAGAACTCGCTTTAGTCATCTCCAGTTGATCTGTCTGGTTATCCCTTGTTGAGCTCTTTTAGCAAACTGTTTTTACAGTGCAAGGGAGCTGGCCTTGCGACTAAACCCCCCTGCCTTGGAGGACCTAGAATTTTCTGTTGGGGTTTACTCCCTTAGCCAGTGGGTTCCAATTAAAGAGTTGGAAAATCGCTTTACCCCCTTCCATACTTTGCCGTTCCAAAAAATGTTGCCCAGGGACTGCGGCGAGGACGTAGTATGGATAGGATGGCAGGAATAACTGACATTACTCAGTTTTAGTAACATGCAGTCCCTGTTGAGGAGAATATTTTAACTGAAGAGAGATGAAATTACAGGAGGTTGGAAAAAAACTGCATAATGAAGAGCTTCATAACTTGTACTCTACTCAAAGTATAATTAGAATGATCAAATCATGGGGGATGAAATAGGCAGGACATGTATATAAATTCTCATTCCCAATTCTTTGTTTGAAAATGCCTTTCCTACCTACTTTGGCATTGACCTCTTGTAAAAAATTATCATACATTATTTAAGTAATTTATCGAATGCACGTTCCAGTTCTTCATAGAACTTGTGCTTCACATCGTCAATTTTATCCTCTGTTGGGATATGAATATTCAGAGCAATGATATCACACCAGCAGCCTCTTAGTATTATGTATGAGGTCATATCACTAACAAACTCAACCCTCTTAACTGCTGATATGATTCACTTATGATCGAATAAACTGGTATCTAATTCATGATTCTCATTCCTTTCCATAGAAACATGTAAATTTGCCTGCTGGTTCGGTGCTACTTCTGTCCCATCTGACCTCATATACTCCCACTAAATCTAGCTTATATTATGGTATTTCTTTTACAACTGTCATGAGTGAACCTGCCCTATACAGACTTCTTTCATTCCATGTATCAAATCTAATGTTCATTTTCTTTAGCTTAGGTTGTGTATTCAAAGAATCTGTCCAGGTCCAAGACACTTTCTGACATTTCATACCAAGTTTACTTTTTTAATATGAGGAGTTACTGGCCCCATGCCAAACCCCCAAGTTGGAGGACCACATATTATCCCCTGTTTGTGACTGCTTATTCAGTATATTCACAGCTACCAACCATGTCTGTAGGCTGTCTCCTCCATCTGCAACGTCACCACCATTCTGTGGAGACAAGGGACCCATCTAACATGGAACAGAAATTCTTATTGACTCTATCGTAAACAGCTCTCCTTACTGGACACAAACCTCAGTCACTGTGAAATACAGTCAAGATGTAACTAGGATTAAGTTCATGTAATTTATATGATGAAATATGTAATTAGAGAGCGGTAGCATAGTTGGTTAAGACACTATTCTACAAGTCGGAAGGTTGCGGGTTCAAGTCCTGATGAGGGTCATGTGATTTTTCAATTGACCTAATCCTTCCAGCCATACTATAGCCCTGGATTCATTTCAGCCTCTAACAAAAATGAGTACCAGGAATCTTCCTGGAGGGTAAAGGGTGACCGGCACGTAAGGCTGATGCCTTCACCACCATCTGTGAGCTGTTTGTCTAGAAGATGTGGGAGCCTTGACCTCTCACAACCCTATGGGCTTCCACAGCCTGTTACAAGGATAGATTTACCTAGAGTGTCCATAGAGCTCAATGTTCGGTTTCTTTTGAAGATAACATTTAATGAAAATACACGTAAAATGAAATTCACCAGTTTACAGAAGTTATTACAGTTCTAATCTTGAAGAAAGTTTACATATATGACAACATTACAGATCTGCTCAGCTGAATTCCATGCAATATGTGCATTCTTTCTTTTGCAGATGAACCATCCCAGCCTGGGACTCCAGAAATTACAGATTATGATAATGAGAGTGTCAACTTGAAATGGACCAAACCAAAAAGTGATGGAGGCGCTCCAATTGAGAAATATATCATTGAGAAGAAAGACAGGTATTTTCATGTTTTATTCAATATATCCTCTAAGACAGTGTTTCTCAACCATCGAGCCCTGTCATCAATTATATGGGCAATCGTCTTATAGCAAAAAGAATTTTCCAGGCCGTGGTCTGACAAAAGTTGAGAACCACTGATCTAATAAATAAATGTAAAATCTTAATGCATTATTTATGGATAACTTGCTGAAGCATTTATTCCTTGTCAATTTGGTTTGATTCTGTTGGTTACTGAACAACTTGGAAAGAGAATTGATAGCATTCTCTAAATTGTTAACTTGATTATCTTCTGGACAGCCAGATAAATGCTGATTACTTTAAATAGCTTTGCTCTCTTTCACAGCCATACATGTAAAAATATAACAAATATGACGCTAAAATATAACATTAGCCATACATGTATCTTAACACTGCCGCTAACTCCGAAGATAATTTACTTCAATGCTCTCCTACTTCACTTTCTATTTGTAACATTATTTTCATTCACAAAATCCCCAGATTTTTCAAACAGTTAGTATTTAAGAGGAATGTATATTTTATTGATAATATTCATGCATTCATGGGTGTATATATATATATGAATATGTTCACACGTGCATGCAGGAACTCATAACGATTTTTTAAAATGTAAACACTGATGTTGTTTTTGTTGTTGTTGGTGGTGATGATGTTTTGGTGGCTTTTGTGGTGGTGGTGATGGTGGTGGTGGTGGTGGTGGTGTTGGTGTTGGCGGTGGCGGTGGCAGTGGTAGTGGTTGTGGTTGTGGTTGTGGTTGTGGTTGTGGTGGCGGTAGTGATGGTGCTGCTACTGTTGCTGCTGTTTATATTCACTGCTCTCTTGTCAACTGTGCAGTCTTTGTAATCATACCATGAATATACAATGGCAGCAATGAAATTAATTTAAGTGAAGGTTGAATTATAGACCTGTTATTATTAAGTTGCAATATAATTTTAACATTTTGTCCCTAAAGAGAGGATGTTTTTAGAAATAGTATGTCTTTGGATATTAGCCATTGTCCTGTTTTATCTAAAAACACCACCCTGTTTATTTTTCTGAGAGTGGGACTACCTGTATCGAAAGCATCCCAATGAGTACGTTTTACCTTAAGACAGAGAAAGAATCAAATCTCTGAAACATTGTGTTTTGGAAAATAAACAGGTTGATGTTTCTACATGAAGACAGGAAAATGGATAATGTCTAAAAACATAATGTTTGTACTAATGTACCATTGTCACAAACTTTTAGATTTTATTTAGAGAATGTTTTGATGACAACAACCCTGAAATATTGAAGAAATGCAATATATTATTTCTTGCTTCTAACTCTGATGTTGTATAAAAGCAGTGTGAAACACAATAAGTCCATCAAGACCTTTATTTTTTATTTAGACTTAGAATCAGAAAGTTGGTGAAATTTTATAGGTCAAGTATGTCATTTCAGTTGCAGGAAAGGAATAAGATCCTAATTAGGGAGTCATAATCGAGTATTAAAATATCCTGCATAATTTATATGATGCCTTATTTCACAGTTAACATAGCTACTATTACTATTTATCCATTTATATTTGTAGATTCAAACCAGACTGGGAGAAGGCAATTGAAATTCCAGGTGATCAGCTTGAAGCAAAAGTTCCTGATCTGAAAGAAAGAGCTGAGTACCAATTCCGCGTAATAGCTGTAAATAAAGCTGGATTATCTCCTGCGTCTGAACCAACCAAATCTCACCTTGTGAAACATAAGGCCTGTAAGTTGACTTTTGAATTTAATGACAGGCGAACTTTATATAATTCTGACATAATGTGTACTTATCAGAAAACAAAAAAGGAAGGCATCAGTCCCTTCTCTGTAGCCTACCAATTTTTTCCTTTCAGTGAAACCAAGAATAGATCGTACAAACCTGAAACCTATTGTAATCAAAGCAGGAAAGATGGTGAAGTATGATGTGAATATCAGAGGTGAACCACCTCCGACTGTAAAATGGTTCCATGGAAATGATGAGGTAAGAAGCTGAATATAAGAATTTTGCTAATTTGGATTGCATCTTCTAATTCAAAATATAACAGTGAAGAAAATACAGCAGATTTCAGCATGATGATAATGGCAGCTTGGTTTGATGTATTTAGTTAATTGTAAATGAATATTGCACTATATTCAGCTTTGTTCAGAACAGAGGGAGCATTAATATTTATTTTATATTGCAGTTTCCATGTTAATAAACTTACAGATTAATTGAAGATTGTGTCTGTTCACTACAGTCATAATTATGACTTTCAGCCATATAAATATAAATGTATTCCAAATATTTAATATTCTTTGAACATTTCTTCCTTGAAGAGAGAGATGTTTACAGCAAGTTAATATTCATCGGTATTAAAAAAATTATATTCCCTGAGTTTTAAATAAAACCGTAAAATTCTGTTGTATGTTCTTATTATTGTAGTGTAGCCTGTAAATCGTCTGGAAGTATTTTTCTGGGACATTACATACTTTTGTCACTTTAAAGAATACTTTATTTAAATATTTCAGTATAAGGATATGATACTCTTACATTCTCTATTATTCAAATGCTTTTCTTTTCATTTTGTTAGGTTAAGTCTGAGGGTAGTATTGAAATCATTAACATTGACTACAATACCAAACTTACTATTAATGATGCAGTAAGAAAAAATACTGGTTTATGGAAAATCGTGGCAGAAAATAAGCATGGAAAAGATGAAGCTGATGTTGAAATTACTGTTCTCTGTAAGTATAATGCAAGAATACAAAAAAAAAATAATCACTTATATTAATTGAGTAAGGTGCAGTAGACCTTATTTTTCTGTTCCTGTGTATAGGAAATGTACTAAGATTTAAGTTTTAAAGGCTGCTTTAGTTAACTGTTCCATACACCAGAAAGTTATGATAAACTTACATAGTATCATAAAGGATTAAATGTTGATACAACCACAGTTTTAAATAGGCATTCAATTGTGCAGTTACAGTTTATTCCTGAAAATTTCTGTTTATTTTAGCTGCACCTTCAAAGCCAAAGGGTCCACTGAAAGTATCAGATGTCACAAAGAATGGTTGCAAGTTGAAGTGGGATAAACCAGAGGATGATGGTGGTAAACCTGTCACTGGCTATGTAGTTGAAAAGCTTGATACTTTAACTGGGCGATGGGTGCCAGTGGGTCGTACCACTGAGCCTGAGATGGATGTGAAAGGTCTTCAAGAGGGTAATGAGTATAAATTTCGAGTGAAGGCTGTCAATGATGAAGGAGAGAGTGAGTCACTAGAGACAGAGCGTGCTACACTTGCTAAAAATCCATTCGGTGAGTTATAAAATGATATATATACAATATAGTATATATTTTTAAAGATTTGATGGTAAATACCAGCTTATTACTCTGCTATGAAATAACTGTAATTACAATTATGTTAGGGCAATATTTATAGAATTAAATATAAGTATTCTCCTGAAGCATGCAGTATTAAATTTGTGATACTGAGTATATTTTTTAGCTCTCAGTATGCTACTAAGAATGGTCTTATATTTCCCTAGGTCCATATTATAATACTGCTGCATGGCTATGTATTCTGTACAATCCAGATGTCCAGTTTGAGTAATGTGCTATTAAAATGGAGGCGAATGAAAGTCAATTAGAAACACTTTGGTGTGATTTGTTTATTAGTCAAAATTGTGGGGGAATATCATAATTTCTGTTAAATAATCTATTTGATGAATGGATGATTGTCTTTATGTGATTCTTATTGTACAGTTACGCAGCATAAATACATCACAGCTAGCATAATAATATAGTAAACTGTAGAAATTTTGAACTTAAATAAATAAGTTTAGTGCACATGTTTGTTTTCCCACCATACCAGAAGTTTTCAAAAACGTCTTATATATTGTCCAGCGTATTAGTGACTATAGATGAGGTTTGGGTTGATAAATAGATTTATTGACCATCGACCAGTTATGCGTTGGAACCACAAGTAATTATTAAACTCTTTATGATTTCCACAATACAAATCACGCCACATTACATGTTCTCAATCTCCTTTCACTAGTCTTTACATGGTAACAGCTCTCCACAATGGCTATTCCTCTGCAGTGTCTTTGCCAGACATTTCCTGGCAACAGATTTTAGCAATGAAGATTCTTTGGTTTCCATTGCCCTCTGGTTAACACTCCACAACTGTATTTCCACATTTCCAAGGAGACTATAAATCATACATATCTCTAACAGTGCCATGTTGAGAAGCTGTAACTATTCTTAAATATTTTGGTCTATTTAAGAGTAAACATCTGAATTTTGAAAGAATGAAGACCATAATTTTCTTAATTATTTAATTGAAGTACCATGTAAACACTATACATTTCAAGTATCATGCCTTATAAGTAATTTTAAATGGCGCTTGTAAAACGTTAACAATTTTGATATGTAGACATCCCAAGCAAGCCTGGAACACCCGATATTGTTGACTGGGATACAGACCGTGTTGATCTTAAATGGAGTGCTCCAAAATCCAATGGTGGAGCTGCAATTACTGGCTACATTATAGAAAAGAAAGAGAAATTTGGCAGTTCATGGGATGAGATTTTGACTACTACGGTAAGAGTTGTTCAGTTGAGTATTGGTGCTTCATTATATTCTGTGTCTAAAACTTGAAATTAGGAATTATATTGCATGTACATATAAATTTGTAATATTAATTCATCTGGAGCATGAAACTATGGTATATGTTTGAGTTGCTTCTGAATTATATGTAGACAACCATTTATTTACCTTTTAATTATCAGTGTCTTTTGTGTACTTAGATTTTATTTCCTTTTAATCCATTCTAGGTTTTATGCAACAAGTTACTTTTAATATTTACAAAGAAAATTGGTTGTAAAATATAGTCCTAAAGAAAGTCCATGAGATTGTTCTTTAGAAATATTATTCAACAGATTAGAGCAGTTACATCTTTTCCTTTGGTCCTCTTACATATCAAGGATTAGGCTGAAGTACAATTCTGAAGGTAATTAAATTTTTCCATCCGTCTCTTCCTTGATCTGTCTGCAGCCTCCCAATAATAAGCTTGCCATGGTAAACATTCAGAGGCCATCTTTTCTACATTTTCCTACCATCTTCATTACATTTTTTTATAGATTAAATGTAGAAAAATAATTAAATTTTCCTTTTTATCAAGTCTCCTGCTTGTGAAGCCCAAGTACCTGGATTGAGGGAAGGAAACCAATACCAGTTTCGTGTCCGAGCAGTGAACAAAGCAGGTCCTTCAGAACCTAGTGAACCTACTAAACCACATATTGCCAAGGCCAGATTCTGTAAGTGTTTATGTATACCAATTAAATTGCATTTTTAAATTGTTTTCCTGAACTGATTTTGAGGTATTACTGTATTACTGTTCCAATAAAAAAAAATGGAAATTAAACTGACTGCAGCAATTATCAAGGCATATCACTTTTATCAACATCATACAAAATTTTATATAACATCCTTCTCTCAAGGTTAAGCCCATATGTAGAAGGAATGATTGGCGAACATAAATATGTGTTTATAATAGAGCAGCCACTGATCAGATTTTTAGCCTCCATTGGATACTGGAGAAAAAATTTGTGTACAGTGACACAGTACATCAGCTGTACATAGACACCAAGAAAACCTATGAATCATTTAGGAGTGAAGCATTGCACGAGTACAATATTCTAATAGGGTTTGGGATACCCATGAAACAAGTTAGAATAATTAAAATGCGTTTGTATGAAATATATAGTTAAGGCTGATACAGCTGGAGAAGCACAGTCAGTATAACAATGGGCTAAGCTCTAGATGGCCAAGGAACTTAGGTTCTGGTACTAGGGGCTTTTTCAGTGGGAGTAAAGTCACTTACTTGCTTACTTTCTTACTTAGAGGCTGTATCCTGATACCACGCATGTGCTAGCTACATCTAGGCAACAGACAGTCAAGACTGCCTAAGGAAGTCATTTGTTTTATTCTACGTAATTACTAAGGGAACAGTGATTTCTTATTAATGGACCAGAATTTTCTTCTAACAAATGACACCAAACATACATACTGCAGTATAAAATCATATCTAATAACTATAACCTTTTAAAATGAAATTTGTGTTTTCAGTGCGTCCTATTATTAACCGTGAGAAACTACAGAAAGTCACAGTACGTGCTGGAGCATCTGTGAAATTTGATGTAGATGTGAAAGGTGAACCTCCACCAACTATCACATGGCATTTTGCTAATAAGCAACTGGAGAATGGACCAACAATAAAGATTGAGAATGAAGATTATAATACAAAGATCCAACTTTCTGAAACAGTAAGAAAAAACACAGGCACATATACTATCAAAGCAGAGAATAGTTCTGGGAAAGATGAAGCAACTGTAGAGGTAATAATACTAGGTAAGTAAAATTTTAACTATCAGTGAGTCTTCTAACAATGTTCTTTGTGTTAAAATGGTTAGTTATTACACTAAAGTGCATGGAATCATCATTGTTACATAACCATGACACTTATTTTGCACAGAACAGAATTAGTGTTTTCTGTTTCCATACACAAAAGTATTACAATACATTTTATTTAATTTTATTTGGCACATTTACATTTGAATCTGTATATATTTTGTGAGATAGGAACTTTATTGATACTATGTATTCAGAAACTCTCAAGCACTTAGTTAATGAATGGTTTCCAGGCACCATATTACTTAATCTTATTTAACCACGTTCTCAGTGTCTCATAATATATAGTATTCAGTGTTAGGGTGATTAGTAAATAATGAATTTGAAAGGTATTGGAAGGAAGCGGTCATTGTTCAGTTTGAAGTTCTATTCTGGCACTTGCCTGGAGGGACTAAGGAAAATTATGAACCTCAATCATGATAGCTGATGTCCCAGCCAAGATCCAGAGCTGGTCACCTTGTGAATATGTCAGAAGAATTTTTTCTTAAGCCAAATAAAATATGGTTAAAGATGGGAGTTATTTTTCAGAGTTAAAACATGAAGCTGAATTTCATTAAAATGAATTACAACAGTCCATTGTTGCATGACTTTTTTTCTATAAATAAGTGAAGCATTGTTGAAAGATATAGAATAGCAGTACACTAGGCCTGCACACTCAGGTGCCTGAAATTGAATATGTGGGATAGTTGATGTAGTTGCATCATATTTAGTAAGATAACATCAGAATAATGAAGTCCACTACTTCTCATAGTGTTTTGGGAAATTTTTCCCCATAAACTATGCCTAATTAGCTATTTACATGATTTTCTCAGTACATCTCAGTTTTGACACTTAAAAGGATTGACATTAAATTTGCTTGTTGATATAGTACCTAATATTATTTTATTTGTATAATTTTTATAACACTCTTTAGATACATGAAATGAAATTTAATTATTGTAGGATTATTTGCTACAATATAGATGTAGATATGCAATACTGTACCAATAAATGGTAAATAGATCCTATACATTTCTTATTTGTTAATACTATATAATGAGAGACTAGTGATTAGACCTTTCTTTATCTTCATAACAGCATTTAGAGGTGAGATTTATGACACCACTTCATGCACATACAATTTTTGTACTAGTGTAAAAATTATTTTTACAGAAAATTTATATGGACCAGCATTCTTGCCAAAACAGAACTGATTTATGAATATGTATAATAAAATGTAATTTTTGTTGTTTCTTTTCAAAACACCTCCTGATATTATTCATATAGTCTATCAAAGCTACAGATCATCAAAAGTTTTGAAGCTACTCCTACATCTATCACATTTATGACATTTTTTGTCCACAATATATCCTTTACTTCTGTACTTCACTGAAAGAGGATAAAATAGTGATGATTATAAGTATGTTGAAGGAAAATGTAAAGCAGCTTATGCTTAAACTTGCTTTTGTAAAAGAAATTTGGATCATATAGATTACATTTACAGTTTTGATAACAGATGTAAAATGTGTTTTAATATTTTTAGATAGACCTGACAAACCTGAAGGGCCCCTGGAAGTGACAGATGTCCATAAGGAGGGCTGTAAATTGAAGTGGAAAAAACCCAAAGATGATGGTGGGCTTCCTCTTACTGGCTATGTTGTGGAGAAAATGGATGCTGAAACTGGTCGCTGGGTTCCAGCTGGCTTTGTTGATCCTAATAAGACAGAACAGGAAATTAAAGGGCTTGAACCTATGAAGAAATACCAATTCAGAGTGAAGGCAGTTAATGAGGAAGGAGAATCAGAACCTCTAACAACAGATACTGCCATTCTTGCCAAGAATCCTTTTGGTAGGTGCAGACAATGTCAATGATAAAACTCTTGTATATAATATATCTTAAAATATGGATGTAATAAAAATTCTCTGTTTTGGAAATATTTTATTGACAGAGTACATAAATTTAAGTCAGTATATTATAATGATTACAGAAATGAAGAATCAATTGTTTGGTCTTGACTCACATGCTCCAGGTTTTAATCTTCCACAGTCCTCACTCTGACACATTTTTTCCTTACGAGCTGACTTAATATGCCACTTCCATCCGTGCCTTTGTCTCCATAGTAGTCTTATTTGAGGTTTCCTGATAAATGCATTTCAGATCTCACTCATGCATTCATTATACCACACCTGACTCATCTTGATTTGATTGTACGGATAATATTTGGTGAAGAGTATAAATTATGGCGCTCCCAGATATGAAATTATGTCCACCTTCCTATTACTTCCTTTATCTTAGTTGTTTAACTTCCTATATTTCTTTTCAGATACTCCGTCTGCCCCTGGACTGCCAGAAATTGTAGACTGGGATGAGACAATGGTGAAGCTCAAGTGGGAACCACCAATTCGTGATGGTGGTGCGCCAATAACAGGTAATTTCTTCCAAATGTTATGTTTCTGGACATTATCCATTGTATTCTCTTTTTTCCTTGATATTTAATGTTCAAAATGATATTTGGAACCCCTTCTCCCTTCATATTTCTTGTATGATGCAATTATTACTTTTCTTAGAAAGGAATGGTATTGCAGATACTGTAATGTAATTTTCTTTTCAAAAATATGTGTTATAGTTTGAATATACCATGGAACTGCTGTAAAATATTTGATCATTCAAAGTTTAGTTAACCCAGATACATTTATTTAGATTTATATATTTATAAATTATCTGGATTTACAAAAAAAAAAATACAAGGTCAGAGACCTTCGCCTGCAAAACTACAACACATTGCTAGTTTTCTTGAGTATCTTTGTCAACTGATGAAGCTTTACCATGTGTTTTTACTGAGACAATATTTCAGCTTAATTGAAAGATGAAAATCCAGAATGGAAGCTCAAGAGTGAAGTATTCTTTTCAATGGCAAGTTCACTCAAACTGGACACTTTCTATACTCACATGAATTAAGTTCTTGATCTACTTCCTATCTTTAATTTTGTTTCTATTTGTCTGATTGTTGATGGACCATGATTTATCAAGTATGCAGATGGAACTGACAATGAAATTCTGCATTCCTTAGCATTCTCACATTTTGTTTTCACTTGTTTATCCACCTCATGCATCGCCTTAAATTATTCAGTAATTGTAAAAAAAATTCTTCTTTTCTTTTGGACACCATGCCCACCCCTTTTACCTCAAAGTGACTAGTGCAACATTTGGTCCATTACTACTAAATACAGAGAGTTTTACTATCCCTTTCAACTCACAGCCATTTTGAAATTATAAAGGACATAGTGGTTGTTTATGGAATGTGATTATCTTTCCAAAGTATACAAACTATTCATGAGTCGCTGGACCTAATTAAGGTTTTTAATTTCAGTATACATATTTTGAATTATCCACAGTAAAACATTTGAAATCAAGAGTTGTTAGGGAGCAGTTTTAACTTCATAACACAAAATAATTTGAATGATCCAATATCAGATAATTCTGTTCTGCATTAAAAAAGAAAATAATTGTTAGTTAAAATGAAACATTTATACATATGCACATTATTATTTTGAGCACTTATTTTCAGATTAGAATCTAGTATATTTGTATGCTTTAATGATTCCTAAATCAAAAAACTGGGTAACACATTATTTAAATTAAATTTACTGATTATAACCGATATCCTTTTATAGGCTACGTGATTGAAATGATGGACAAATTTGGAGGAAGCTTTGTAAAAGCTGCTGAAGTGCATGGAAACACTTGCAAGGGCACTGTTCCTAAACTGGAAGAAGGAAATCAGTACCAGTTCCGAGTTAGGGCTGTAAACAAGGCTGGTCCTGGTGACCCAAGTGAAGAGACTAATCCACATACTGCTAAAGCAAGATATTGTAAGTTATGCAGGCCTACTCCAAGAAATACAGTTACAAAATATGAGTTTATTTTGGTTTAGTTATCAATTCCAGAATTAATTAAAAATACTAGTCATCTAATTAGCATTTTCTCAAAACTTGGGTATATATTTATCGTCACACCCTCCACCATGTTTATAGTTAATATCATAGTGATCATTATCGTCATCATCATCATCATCATCAACTGTTCTAATACTTTATTAAAATAAACTTCAATGAACATAATATGTTCATCATATTTTGCTAATTTAACCAGCACTTTCTGTACTGATGGTATATTTGTCAAAACTTTATATGTTAGGGCATTAATTAAGATGGGTTATTACTGAAGAAGCCATAGTAAACTGTGCTTAAGTGCATGAGAAGTTAATATTTTAACCTTGTGTTGATATTGCAAGATTCTTAGATTTTGGTGTGCATGATCTAATTCTTCATAATGTGTAAGATACTGTTTTTCTTGGACTTAGATTTACTAATTGATGATGTAAAACTTCCATTATGAACCTCATGGACTTGGATTTGATGCATGTAGTCAGTAGCTTCACTGTGATTGTCTTGACAATATTTCATCATAAAGTGACTCCTATGAGACTGTTTCTTTTCCTGAAGAATAATTTACTTAATATAACTCTAATATTTGATGTGTACATAATTAGAGGATAGTGATAGCAATAAAAATTAATCATGGGACAACAGAGAAAATGAAGGTATCTGGTCACTGTCTCTAATCATGGCTTAAATTATGCTGTTACATATAATATTGGCACAGATTCTAAATTATCTGCCCGCTTGAATCTCTTATGTAGAAATGAGCTAAAAATTTGTTTTACCACAGTCTAGGTTGAATAGTTAGCACTCCTACTTCGTATCCAGGAGATTGTGATTTAAAAAAAAAACTTAGCGGATTGGAGATCCTGATTAAGATTTTTGCATTTTATATCACAGCAAATGAAATGAAAGAATAATATATTAGTATATTAAAGTAGGTTATTTCCCACCTGCTTCCACTTTTTTTACAGAATTCATAGATTTCCTTGCTTTCAGTGCTGCATAATAATTTCAACTGCTCAAGCATCGGTAAACAAATAATCAAATTGACACTAATTTAATCAAGGTACTGCTACCATTAACACATTCAGTGACAAGGGAACAAACCTTGGTAGCCTTGTTGCATCTCTAAAGGGTTAATATCAGGCTGTCTAGTACTGAGAGAACTGTAATTTTTCTTCTTCAGACTTTCACATCTTGAATCCTGCCTTTATTATGTTTCAATGCATTAGAATTGGAACAACATTTAGTTCTACTGCATATATCTGAATGGGAGAAGAATTAAATAAAATCTGCTGAAATGAAAATTGTGAAAATTTCTATCAAAACTTAAAGAAAAAACTTGTACATGTAAACACTCTATTAGAGTTGATGTAGTGTGCATTTGATTACAGAGTCTCAGATATGTATGATAGCTGACAGTTTTGTAGTTCAACTGTTAGAATTGTTGGTAGATCTGCCATGGATAATTATTTTATTAATAAATAAAACTTAAAAATACAATAAATGAAGTATATAGGATGCTGGAGAATTTTTAAAGTACAAAAGAGAGTTATAAGAATAATAAGAGGATATGGCTACAGAGAGTCATGCAGAGAACTGTTTAGGAATATGAATATATTTCCTTTAAGATCACAGGATATATACTCCCTGCTGATGTTTATAGTAAAAAATAGAGAAATATTTGATACAAACAGGGATCGCTATGAAATAAATATTAGACATAATATGGATATACATATGAGCCAGGTAAATTTGGCAAAATATGGTAATGGGGTAATTCACATGGCCGTAAGGATTTACAATGCACTACCTAATAAAATTAAAGTAACTTCCAATGATATAAATAAGTTTAAAAAGAATTTAAAGGAATTTCTTTATTTAAATTCTTTTTATACACTGGATGAATTTTTTAAGAGATAATGATTATACAACTATATAAATATATAAGATGTTGAGTAGTACAGTAAATGGATAATCATCGTGAATGTACGATAACCATACTTATAAATGAATGTTTTTATATGTTGGATTTGTTGTATATGTTAAAGCTATATGACCAAAATATTCCGTTACTTTAGACAGAAACTTTTATCTTAAATTTTTAATTTAAATGATAATTTTGAGTGTATTGTGCTAGAGAGTAATTGTATTATGAAGTAAACAAACATTGTCATATATTATAAGTCTTTTTGACAATTACTTCATAGTATTAGCAAGATAAATTGACACAATTCTGTATCTAAGGCTTTAGCCTATTATAGATGTAATGGAATAAGGAAGAAATAATAATAATTCAATTTAATTCAATTCTTTATTATTTATTGTGCCGAGTCAACAGCCGCAAGGCCAATTACAGACAGAGCACAGTGTAAATGAAAGTAATTACATTATAGACAAACACATAAGTCAAACACGAATTACAGGCAAGTACTTGGGAAAACACAATAATGGAGAAAAGTAAACAAACAAGCAAATAAATGATAATAATAACAATAATAATAATTTCAATAACATACAACTTAGTGTTAAGAAGTGAGAAGTGAAACATAAATATTTAATTAAGAAATGAAAAGTATAGATTTTCAGAGGATAATAATAATAATTAATTTTGTTTTATTGCAAATAATAATAATACTAACAATTATACTATATTTAAAATTTGTTTGGGTAGAACATTCCTGGCTCCGAATACGTCAACATCCCTGCAGACAACATTAGCAGCTGCTGCACATCTAGCAGAGGGACAATTTTTAGATGAGGAACAAACATTGAACAATGCAAAATCTCTGATGTACCGAGCAGAAACTCGGAGACCAACAATTTCCAGAATAGAAGGGCAGAATTTCGAGCCAAAATAAACTTGAATAAGAAAGAGAGCATCGAGGTGATGTCTCCTAGTATGTAGAGTATGCAATTTTAACTCCTCAAGAGCAAGAGAATAATTGTAATGCACTTTAGGAAAGAAACGATTAAAACAAAGGGCCGCAAACCTCTGCTGAATGCGTTCCAGCTTGTTAGCATCAGTTGATGTAATCGAATTCCAGACTACGGATGCATATTCAAGCTTAGATCCAATAATAATAGTAATAATAATAACAACAACAACACAGATATTGTACTATGAATAAAGTGATGTTTTTTTTAAAGAGACGACAGTATAATATATTGTCACAGTTGTCTTGTTTTGAAGCAGTATTTTCGTGAGTCAGTTATGGGTCTTGTTATCAGTTGGTTTCAGTTCACTGCTATGTCACTGAACATCCCTGCACTCTCTTCTTGCACTTATCTAATTCCTACCAACATGGGACCCACTACTTGCTTCTTGTCACACTGTTTCACCACATATGAATGCTGTGTGCTGCTTCTAAGTGGAAACTGACTGTACTCACTATTTTCACAAACTTTTATTCCAGCATAGTATATTCCCGAACGTTTATGCAAGATCTTAGCCAACTGAAGTCTTCCGAGCCTCCAGAATTATCTAGAAAGGAGGAATGGAGGCTACAGTGTGTCTCAAAAGGGCTGCGTGCGCAATGTTTCTAGCTCCCTTCACTCAGGCTGGAATAGTAATCGCCATAAGTGTAGTGCTGTACTCAATTGAGTCCTCAGCACAGCAGCCACATTAAGATGATGATGAATCAAATAAATGTGTGTGCAGTATTACAGATGTCTTACATACATTATTCTTCACTTTGAAATAAAAGAAATGTGTCCAATTTTTCTTTCAGTAAAACCAAATATTGACCGTACCAACTTACAAAATCTAGTGGTGAAAGTTGGTCTGACACTCACACTTGATGTCAACATTACTGGAGAACCTCCTCCAGAAGTTACATGGTTGTATGAAGGAAAGGTGAGTTTATCATAATGACAGAATGTAGGGAACAACTTTTATCAGTCTCTCTTTCAGTGCAAGACTGTAGATCATAAGAGTAGCTAGGGCATGAAACATTCTCAATACTTTTTCTGTTACGTTTGGCAAAATATATATGCTATACTATCCACTGTGGACAAGGATCATGAATTGCTTATCACATGATCAGTCACTTTGTGGTGCCCCTTTGAGGGACAACTTGTCTGCATAGTATTCAGTGCATACTGTAGCATGTGTCCTGCCCTGCTTTCTTACTGATTATTTTTATAATGTAGCTCATTCACAGTTCTGAGCTCTTTGATCAAATATGGATGAGCTGAGATAACCCAGTAAGTGAAGCGACTGACAATTGGTTCACTGATTTATTACAAATATTATGTTTCTAGACATTATCCATCATCCTGTCTTCATCTAAAAATACAATCCTAGTTATTTTTCAAAACACAACGTTTTGGAGACTGGATTCTGTCTCTGTTTTGGGGTAAAACCTACTACCAGTGGTCTGGAGATAAAGACTAGCTCTATCAGCTGGGCTCAACTGAGTAGACAATTAAACAAAGATTTTATACAATTAGAAAGACTGGTAATTTTAAATTTTAACAAGCAGTGTAACAGCTACGTGAGTGATACACACCTGATGATGGCCATTTAGGGCCGAAACATGTAGTGTGGAGGAGGAAAAGAAGTAAAAACTACAATAAAATTTGTTGCACTTAAGACGGTATTTATCCATATATATCAACTGAGTAGGTTTTACCTGAAGACAAAGACAGAATCAAGTCTCTGAAACGTTCAATTTTAAAAATTAAACAGGACGGTGTTTTTAGATAAAGACAGGATGATGGATAATGTCCAGAAAAACAATATTTGTACCATTGTACCATCATCACAAACTTTTATATCTTATAAGTAATTTATGATTGATTGTGAGCCATGCATGGATGTTTCCTTTTTCCACCATATCTTAACTAACTCTGGGGCCCCCTAGCTTCCTGTCAAAGGAGTACTAATATCTCTTTTCCAGGGGTACAAAGGCTGAACTATGAAGCTCACCCCTATGTAATATTAAGATTTACAATATATGGAACTCTATTCTGTGCTCCTTATATGTTTCCATTATATGATGCATAAGTTTAAGACTAACTTTACTTTCATTTAATCCTTTAAAATATAACAATAAAATGTTATCTGAACTTTGAGGCTGTTGATGAATTAATAAATAAATAAATGAACCAGCCATTCATAATAATTTAATATGGTACCAAGAAATTTATCTCTCTTTGAATCTTCGTGTCATAATGAACACAATTTGATTGCATATAAAAAAAGATCTTTACATATACAGTAAAAACTCATTCAATATATAATCCTAAATTTTTCAGACTTACTCAAAAATAACTGTGCCCCCTTATACTCCTCAGCATGGACACCATGGAAAACAATGTCTTCTGTTGTCAGGAATGCGTGTTTATTAGTCTGTTACCTAGCAATGGATGTCCTGTTGTTAAGTACTTGTGTCATGGAAACATATTTGCCGACTAGTTCCCTAGCAATGGGTCTACATGTCACACTATTTACTAAAATACAACAATATTAGCAAATTTTAGTAACCTTTCAAGGGCTGAGTTCTGTATGTTCATCTTGTGAGAAAATCATTTTACTCCTGGTGCCATATTATGTACATAAGATAAACACAAGTTTGGCACCATTTTCTTAATCCTGGCTGGACTAACCCATCTGTGTAAATGAGGTGAGTTTATACGCTCTTGATTACAGGTATATGCACTTTGGAATGACAGTTTCGGTGTTCTTTTGTGAATATATAGTATGTTCATAGGTGTGAAAGAGGTAAAAAGCATAGACTTACTCTTCTCATAGTATAAATAGAACGATCAAGTCAAGGAGGATGAGGTGGAAAGGGCATGTAGCATGAATGGGGGAGAAGAGGAATGAATATAGGATATTGGTGGGAAAGCCAGATGGAAAGAGACCACTGGGAAGACGAAGGCATAGGTGGGTGGACAATATTAAAATAAATCTTAGAGAGATAGGATAGGATGGTATGGATTGGATTGATCTGGCTCAGGATAAGGACCAGTGGAGGGCCCTTGTGAACATGATAATGAACCTTCAGGCTCCACAAAATGCTGGGAAATTCTTGAGTAGTTGCACAATTGGGGGCTTACAACCAGGTTCACTTCCCAATCTGATGAACATTCCTGCGTCATCCGAGCTTGAATTTTTTTGATATAATCATGTTACTTTTCATCACAGTTATTCAGTAATGATGTTTATATTATTACAGGAATTGAAATCAGATGACCTAATCCGCATTGACAATATAGATTACAATACAAAATTTTTCATTTTGAGAGCAAAGAGAAGTCATAATGGAAAATACACAATCATAGCCAAGAACTCTGTTGGTGAAGACAAAGCCGAGTTTGACATTACTGTTCTAGGTAAGTATAAAGAGACTGACAGCAAAGGTTCTGTAAGTGTAATGGAAGTATTATTATATCAGCATTAAACCAGACTATAATTGAAGAAGCTAAACAGTTAAATGAAGGTTGTGCGAATTTCCTGTAGTTAAGTTGCTTATCTTATTGCCATGTGATGGAGTGCCTATAGACTGGGTTTGGATTGATAATTGGATTTACTGAACTCTTACAGAGCCATGACTGCAAATAAATAGATCCATTTCACTAATTCACTTGCTTTACAGTTCACTAGAGCACATGCCTAAGTCTTCTCAGCCTGCTCTATCTTCACCAGTCTTCTGGTATTGGAATGTCTGATGTTCCCCTTCCTCTGAGTTCCCGAACTGTCTCCGGGCTTAGCTAGCAGCTTCACATGACAAGAGTACATAACAACTGAACTCCAGCAGTTCACTAACTCACCAACTCACAGACTAAGTAACTCAGTCACTCATCAATCAACTCTATTCCACTGACTGACTGACTGACTGACTGACTGACTGACTGACTGACTGACTGACTGACTTACTGACTCTTCACTAAGTGTCCTCTTTATAACATCTCGGCATGGATATTGTAGAAAACACCATTCCTCTTTTGCAGTGTGATTCTTGTTTAATTGTAGCATGATGTATTCAATTGTTGTATGCACAACCATTGATAAGAACCATACAGAAGACACCATTCCTCTGTTGTTGTTAGAGGCTGCTGTCCAGTAACAGCTGGCTATTGTGACTCCACAGTTCTTTCTTTGAGCGAATGTGCCACACATTATTGTATGTGACCTAATCATGAATCTTCATTTGTAGCATCACAGCAATTAGTTCACACATTTTGAAGTTTTCTCATTCATATTGATGAAACACTACCAGGCAGACCTGAGTAAAACCCCAATACAAGAATTAATAAGACACCTAAATGAACAACAAAAAATAGTATATGAGTTACGCCACTGGGTATAACTCATTCATGAGCCAGTAATAATTGAACATATATATTTATTGCAGATTCTGCAGATTATGTACTGTGTAATAAATGCGTGAAACAGTATTAATAAACAATTTTCTGCAATCCATAGATTTTTTAATATTAACATACTTCATCAGATATGTTTTAAATTAAATATATGCCTGAGTTATGATGAAATCAAAGTTGAGTGTAAGTAATGAAATTTAATCTTAATAGTATGCATCCTGTTGCATGTCATAAACAAGGTACATAAAATGTATACAATTGTATAAAGTAAGTATTACATACAGAAAGGAAGGGACCCAAACTCAACAAATTAGAAAGATATTATATATTTGACATAACGAAGAAAGGTCTGCAGATGAAAGATACAGTTACAGAATTAAAGAACCCCGGATTCGACATTCTAATAGAAAAACACACACACACACCCAATAACTCCACCCCTTCCCCATCTCTTCAACCACTCACAGTGTCCTCCCTCCTACCTCGTACCACTTGACTCTATACAGACATACCCACATACACAGATACCCCCCAAACAAGTAGTTTAGACTGAACCGCTACAAAATAGTGACATCAACACAACAGGCATCATAAGAAAATCTAATACATGTAATTACATATACTTAATAAGCTAATAACAAGATTAATAACAACACACTCACAAGCTTCTCCTTATAATAATTAAAAAACTGTTGCAGATCCCTCCAAATGAACTACCTGTTGGGTGACATACAGAATAACGAGCATAAGCCCCACAAGACGATAGTAGGTCAAGACTACTTGACCTAATTTATGTGAGAAGATCCTGATAAACAGGCGCCCCACAGTATAGTCACTTCTACCACCAGAAAATCACATCAACATGTAGTGGTCACAAAGTTTTAAAGAGACTTATCACAAAATACTTCATTTCCATTGTAGTACAATTTTAATTTTTATGTTTTAATCTTTAGTCCATAATTTTTTTATTTTTATTATCTGAGTACTTCAAATTTTAATTGAAAGACTCAATTTATGCATTTATGAACTCTCAAGTGCACAGTGTAATATCAACCCACCATTCTTTATGTTTCCAGGTAGGCCAGGAAAACCAAAAGGCCCCTTGGAAGCAAGCAATGTTACAAAGAATGGCTGTAAACTGACATGGAAGAAGCCTGATGATGATGGTGGTGTACCCATTGAATATTATGAAATTGAGAAATTGGATCCTCTCACAGGCCAGTGGATACCTTGTGGAAAGTCCACAGAGCCAGAAGCTAACATTGGGGGTCTGCAGGAAGGAAAGCCTTATAAATTCCGTGTAAAGGCTGTAAACAAAGAGGGTGAATCAGAAGAACTGGAACTTGACAAGCCCATCATTGCCAAGAATCCATTTGGTAATGAAAGCACTTATTTTATAGAATTCCTGTTTATTTAATTTCCTTGAAGGGTTTACAGCATTTGTTTCATTTTCCTATTTATTCTGTTTCTGATGTACAAATTATTTTTAAAAAACTTTACCTTCCATTTGTGTATTATAAACCCAAATCATATAATTTTAGGCAAGTGTGAGTCTGAAAGAGTTGAGATAAAATGGAGTAAAAAATTCTTGGCCTTGATTCAAAAGTTAATTTTTCTTCCAGAATTAAAGAATTATCTGTTAGATACCTTAGTGCTGCACTTCAGGGTCATATCAGACGGGATCAATACTGAATTTGCTTAAATGGGAGATGAGTTTTTTTTTTTTAAGGGTTACAAATCTGTGTGTTGTCAACATGAATTTCAGTGATATATAAATATCTAAAAATATTTTAATCCTTATTAAGCTTTTAGCATGAACATGGCACTAATTTCACAACATATCACTAATTTTCAATATGTGAAAGTAGCAAGCGAGAAAGCAAATGAGAGAGAAATATATTGTGGACAATTAATTATTTTTTCTCAAGATGAACCAAGCAAACCTGGAAGACCAGATGCCAAGAACTGGGATAAAGATTTCGTTGATTTGGAATGGACTGCTCCAAAGAATGATGGTGGAGCACCAATTGAAAAATATATTATTCAAATGCGTGACAAAGAAGGTCGGGCTTGGGTGGATGCTGCAACTGTGCCTGGAAACAGGTAATAACTTTTTGTCTAGAAGGACTGGTGGAGGATACAATGATTTTATGTTTTTCCTGTGTTTAGAACAGTATTTATAGTCTGATTAATGTAAAATTTATTATTTATACTGCAGGTACAGAGGGTAAAATCCATGGTCAGTTACGAATATTCAGTGTTTTTCTGATTTCTTCAACCTTGGCATTACAAGTACAGTAGAACTTGGTTATAACGTCATCAAAGGGACCTAAAAATAGTGTCGTTATAAACGAATGTCGTT